CTTGCGCACTGCTTAGCCCTGAGGGGGGAGTGTGTGTGAGGTGGTGTAATGTTGTCCCGTTTCAGGCGGCAGGTCAGGGGATTAGCCGGGAGGATTCGGCAGCTCAGCCGGGGGCTGAGCGTCTGCAGGCAGCCTTCCGCTCGCGCCGAAATTCACAGCCCTCCCGGGCCGACGGGGTGCTCCTTGGATCGGGCCCCGCTCCGCGCTTTTCCTGTACCTGGACTGTCCGGGTCAGGAGGGTGAGAGTATTGGGTGGGCGAGGGCAGTACATCTGGCGGGTGGCGATTGAGGGACAGCAAGAGGGCTAATTGGGGGGTCAGTGGGCTCGCGGGCGGCGCTTCGTGGTCCTGGGCGAGCAGGGGCAGTGGTTAGGAGTCTTGGGCCTGGAGATATGAGGATTGTCGAGATGTCGTGCGAGAGCGGTAGCTGAAGGAAGGTAGCGCGGCTGGAGAGTGGTGTCCGAGGGACAGTGATGAGTTGTCAGTTGGGGCGCGAGACGCGCGGGACAGTGTTGGAGGCGGCCAGTGAGGTAGGGTTGGCTTTGAGCAGTGCAGCGAGTGTGTGGTCAAGCGTGGGAGCGGCGCGCGAGCACCGGATTTTTTTGCTGTGCGAGTCGAGTTCGTGGCCGGTGCGCGGGAAACTCGCCGAAAACCCGCGCAGCCGGCCAATTGTACGACCGAGGTCGCTGAGTACGACCGAGGTCGCAGAGCCTTGGCGACGCGACGCGCACGTCGCCAAGGACTTCGTAAAATGTCAGAGTTTTTTTTCCCGTGTCACCTCTCCGCCCACTCCGCGTCGAGCGGTCGAGCCCTCTTTACAGTATGCCGCGGGCGCGGGCGCATACCGCATACCGCTCAGCCCGTTAGTACGCTTTAGACAGGTACCGAGCAGAGTGCGGCCGCTCTGGTGAACGCCGTGTGATGTTGTCGAAGAGAGGAGCGCTAGGATACCCGCGGCGGCATACCCCTGGCCCTTCCCAGTTCCCTTACAAGGGCCCCTTGCCTGAATTAATGTTTTCTGATGAAAAGCAAGGCGAATTGGGTTTCCTGGCGCGCGGCCTGGCGGCCGGGGACGAACGGCGCCCCAGGCCATGCGAGCCGACCCACTATCATTCTTTTCCCTGGGACTAGGAGTTAGGCCCCTTGGAAGGGGCCCCCGCCCCCCATGGGGGGGCGGGGGTTGGAATGGGGCCTACCGCTGGGCGTGGGCCTTTGACATTGGAGCGCGCAAGTTTCTTAATGGTGGGGTGCCCGAACCAAAAGGGGTGGGGTGGAATTCGGGTCCCCCTTAGGCTTGGGGGG